TGAAAGCCCTTGAGGGTTTAGGGTTTAGGGCCCGTGCTCAAAGTTTGGGAAGATTTGTACGGCCTTCAGACTTCTTTACATGTCTTTATATAGTGGATTCTATAAATGGTCCCGGTTCAAGGTTTAGGGTTTCCGGCTTTAAGGTTTAGGGTTCAGGGTTTGGAGAGTGTTTGAGGCTGAGGTTCGGGGCTCAGAGGGTTTAGAGTTCCGAGGTTTCGGGTTCAAGTGTCTGACGGAATTTCTTCGCATGCGAATCTTTCGTGAGTTCTTAGCACCAGAAATAGAAATTCCTGACACTGGGTTTACGGTTTAGGGCTTACGGTTGAGTCGCTCGGAATCCTGCGGCTACTGCTACTGCTTCTGCTGAAACTACTATTAACAATGCTGTGATTCTGATTGTTGGTTAGTTCTGCTTATGACAGTGGTAATGATGATGCCGCTGAGATGGTGATGTTCTACGAGTTAGGTGCAAGCAAATGGTTGGTGTCAGAACATCGTCGTTAGCTCTGTAATGTAACGCTTGCTAGAGTGGAGGCCGAAGAACTTGAACATGGATATCGGCTGATCTAACGGCCTTGCTTCTCTACTAGGTTCAGGCCTGGGGAAACCCATTGTTCCAGCTGGCTTGCTTCTGCTGCATCTACCCCGTAACCTAAACGATTTCGAATCCCCGAAACCCTACACTCATGACAATCCAACAACTTTCAGAATCCCAAACCATAAACAAACATAGAACGCAAATATGAACCCCCTGATGAAACGACTTGGTATAGACTATAGCATCACAAGAACCTAAACCTAACAACCCTAAACAACGGAGACCACAATCGTCTCTTTTGATTACTCTGGGGGCGCTGAAAGCGAAGCGCAGCAGAGGCTGCTGCCTCTGCTGCTACGACTACTACTGCTGCCACTACTACTACTGCTACTGCTACTACGGCTACTACCAACAGGCATCAACCCCGGCGTCTTCCGATCCACATACACGCTTTGCCAGACAATCTGACACTTTCTAACTGCGGGTTCCTTCCTGTAGACCTATTTACGGCTTAGAGTGTAGGGGTGTAGGGTCTAAGGTTACTGGCGTTGAGGGCGGTTTAGGGTTTAGGGGCTTAGAAGCTTAGGGGTTCAGGGCCTCAGGTTAATCGGGTTTAGGGTTTATGGAGTTGTACAACCCTAAACCCTAGACCCTAAACCCTAAACCGTAAAGTTTCCCAAAAGTATCCCTGGACCTCTCAGAGTCGAATCCTTCTCATGGGCTTCACAGGGTTTAGGGTTTAGGGTTTAGGGTCTAGGGTTTAGGGTTTAGGGAGCTTGTGCTTGTAGGGGGTGTAATACAGGGGCCTTCATGGTTAGAATAGGGTTTTGGGGTATATTCGACTAAAATGATGATAAGGAAACCCCCAACATATTATGGGAAATTACCAGGGCCTCTGTCTTAGCTTAAGGGCTTGAGGGTTTAGGTTTAGGATCTCTAGGGTTTGGGGGTCAGGGTTCAGGGTTAAAGGGCTTTTTGAGGTTTATGGCTTGGGGTCTGCTTACAAAGGGTCCAGGCATGCCATCACATTGAACTTGTGAAAACCAAAGCGTCTCAAAGTGGGAGTTTCCAGAAAAGAGGGGACACCAAGGTGGAACATACAAAAGTCGCTCCTGCACCGTATAAAACCCTGAGCACCGAAATTCAATCCGTACATAACAGTATATGACCCTAAATACATCCCCTTGTGGAACCTTTTCAAAGGACGCCAACTATGGGTTCCTAGTTTTCTGATATATAAAACCCCATAAAATCCGACTGTGGAACCTTTTCATGGGACCCCTCATATAAGTTCCTACCCTTATCCTCTAAGGACTCATATTTTAAGGCTTTTGGGCCCAAAAACACTATTATACAAGGCTTTTGGGCTGTTTTGATGCTAAGGGCTAGTTTTCTGGAACTCCCATATATTCCAAGCCATCGAACTGGAGGAGGAGTCGAACTAGCGATTCGGCGACGTCTTCTGGGCCGGGCATTTCCTCAGCTTTAAATCTGCATCGGTGTTTTATGTTTAGGTTTTTTTATTGAACGTCTTTTTCCGTCTTGCAAGAATCCTGCTTAGGGTTTTTAGGGTTTAGGGCTCACAGAATTGTGTTAGTTTTTTGGGGGAGATGTCTGTGCTTATTATTACCTCTCACGAGGGCAGCGTTTCTTGTTCCCTCAGTTTGGTGTCTTGCGTGGGGAAGGCGTGGGGCGTGATATAGCGGCCTTAACAATAGGAATAAGGCTTTGCGGGTGTCTTATTATAGTTATAGTATAATGATCACCAAAAACCTATTAAAAAGCTCCAAGAGCCTGATAATCAGCAGCAAGATACCTTCAGCTGAAAAGGCTGTCCAGCTGAGCCAGTGTACCTTGGCACAATTGCTAGCTCGAATTCCAAGCTCAAAGCTCACATCATAACCTTTGGGGCCCACCTGGTAGCCATTCCCACTATACGGTTCATGATACAAATCCTGCATGATCCTTAATAAGGAGTATGCCATATTCCCCATAGTTTAGGGTCCTGAAGGCAATGCAGGATTTATATCATCAACAGTATTTAGGGGTACCTGAAGAGGTCCTATAGTACGCTTCTAACACCCGTATAGAACCACGGAGGCGCCCTGTCAAACTCTATGGAAGAGTCCTTCCCAAAAGCTGAGCTACAACACCTAAAGCCAAATCTCATCATGAAGAATACCCTTAAACCCTAAACAGCCTAAACTACAAGCCCCAAACCCTAAGGCCATCATGACGAATACCCTTGAACCGAGAACTTCAAATCCCAGACCCTAAGCCCATCATGACGATTACCCTTAAACCCCAAACCCAAATCCCACCAGGACGAATACCCTTAAACCCTACCCTACAAACCCCTAAACTGCAAACCCCGAACCCTAAGCACATCATGGCGAATACCTCTTGCTGTAAGCCCATAACTTCTAAACCAACGAAGAGCCCTAAATCCTAAACCCTAGACCCTAAACCCCAAGCACACATCCCAACAGACCGAACCTAGACCCTAAACCCTAAACCCTAAAGCCTAAACCCCTAAACCCCAGGCCATGGTTTAGGGTTTAGGGTAAGCCCAACAAGCCGAACAGCCCCTACTTAAAGGATCATGGGACTTCGTAACTAGGGTTATAAGTAAAGTAACTATATTTCTAAGTGCTTATAACCCGAATTAGAGTACTTATTCTAAACCCTAAACCCTAAACCCTAAACCCTTATAACTTATACGTCCCATGATCGATCCTCCAAGTAGAGCTCCACCAAGACACCGACCGAGACAGAAGCGCAGAGCGGCCTCCGTCTCCAGCGGGAGTCCCGAGATAAGGAAGCCTGGGCTGTTCAGTAGGGTTTAGGGTTTTGAGGTTTAGGGGTTTAAGGGTTTAAGGTTTTGGGTTTAGGAATTCTGCAGGGTGTTGGGTGTAGGGATTGGGGGCTTAGGGCGTAGGGTTTGGATTTTTCGGTTTTGGGTTTAGGGTTGAGGGTTTACCTAGGCTGTTCGGTAACATACTGGGACAAGGCCTATTCTTCAGAGCTTTGGATGTCATTTTATGGACACTTCCGTTGTGAGATGAAGCCAGAACCACAAGTCCAGAAGTCCCAACCTAGTCTAGGACATTTTCAGGTGGGTAGTTACCGTTATAGGAGCCTTATAGAAGGTCAATAAAACCTTATGGAAGCCTTATAGAAGCCCTATATAGCCTAAACTCCCCACCTGTACTTTCCTAAACCCTAAACCATAAACACTAAGCTCCCCACCTGTACTTTCCTAAACCCTAAACTCCCTAAACTTCCCACCTGTAGTTTCCTGAACCCTAAACCCTAAACTCCCTAAACCTGTAGTTTCCTAAACCCTAACCTCCCTAAACCTGTAGTTTCCTTTGACCCTAAACTCTAAACTCCCTAACCCTGTGGTTTCCTTTGACCGAGAAACCATTCAGAAGTAGCTCTCCGCGTCGGGTTTTCATCGCAGCCGCATCCGGCGCACGACGCAGGAGGGCATTGGCCGGCAGATTCGCCACCTAACGAGCGGGTTTAGGGTTTAGGGTTTAGGGTTTAGGGGCACTTCGGACTCCTTGAGCTGCTTTTTCGGGAGTTCCTTCAATCTTAAGGGCTCTAGAAGGGTCCTCAAAACCTTAACCCGAAACTGTAACGGTCCTAAGCCCTAATTAAACCCTAAAGGCCCTAAGCCCCGAACCCTAAAGATTCTGTCAAGCTTTGGCGCATGCTCATCTACGAGACCGCCAAAGGCTTGAAGCGCTTGCGCTCGATGACTGTTTAGGGGGCTAAGGGCTTGGGGTTCAGGATTTAGGGTCCTAAGCCCTAAACCCTAAGCCCTTAGTTAGTTAGTTAGTTAGTTAGTTAGTTAGTTAGTTAGTTAGTTAGTTAGTTAGTTGGTTAGTTCGTTTAGGGTTCAGGGCTTAGGGTTTGGGGTTGAGCTTCTGAAACGCTTCAGGGCCCTGCGGATTCCAGAGTTTAGGGTTCTACGGTTGAAGAAACCCATATTTTCGGAGCTAAGCACATCATCATGAGGTGCTGCAAAAGGTAGGTTATTTTGGGTTTCAGTAAGAACTAAGGCATACTGAGGTGCTGTAAAAAGGTAAGCTATTTTGGGTTTCAGTAGGAATTAAGGCTTACAGGGTTTCTGAATTTTAAAGCCCTTGAAGCTTTACACTTTAGGTCTGCGGTGTTTACCCTGAAGGTCCTGATCTTGAGCACGGTGCGGTTAACTCTCGCTGTAATGCAATCCTGTAAACCCTAAAGCACCATAGACATGTCTTCCCCCACAGAAACCCTTTAAAAATCGCTGTAAACCCTAAACCCTGAACCCAGAGCTATACCCCCTGGAACCCTAAACCCTACCACTCAGGTAAGTGGCCTCAACCCCGCGCAGGGTTTTTGGCCCGTAAAGCCTGTAGTGCTTGATCCTCGGATGTGATGTTGCGTGCTTTAGGGTTTAGGGTTTAGGGTATGCAATACGAGGTTCCTTTAACAAAGGTTCCGGTACGATAAATGTCCTTTACCAAGTGTTCTGTATAAAGGTAGACAGATAGATAGATAGATAGATAGATAGATAGATGAAAAACAAATATGGATAGGTAGATTCAGGTAGATAGGAAGGTATGTAGGCAGGTAGATAGGTAGATAGGTAGATAGATAGACAGACATATGTATGTATGTATATGTATATATATATATATATATGTATACAGATAGGATGATGGGCTTTTCGCACCCGATGGTTCAACACATGAATCGGATTTGACAGACGCTGATCGGATTTGTCATGCGCATGGGCAGGGCTTCTCAGAAATAATGCAAGGACTTATCAAACCTCCCGGGGGATTTTCAGCAATCATAAACGGACTTCTCGGAATGCACGGCGGATGGCGAACAACAGAAATACATGGGCATATGCATTTCCAGCACACCTGTAAAATCCATATCACTTGCAAATGCATCGTGGAGTAAAAACCCAGGAGACAACGACCCCGAACGCATCAAGGAGGGCGCAAAAGTAGCGAGACATGTGCATATGAATTTCCAGCACACGTAAATGCATGACCGTATCACCTGGAAATGCAGCGTGCAGTACAACTCCAAGAGACAACGACCCCGAAACCCCGAACACATCAAGGACGACGAAACAGTAGCGAGATGCGTGCATGTGCAGTTCCAGTGCACCTGTAACTGCATCTTGTAGCCTGAACAAAGGTATCGCCACCCTAAACCCTAAACCCCTAAACCCTAAACCCCTAAACCCCAAAATCCCAAACCCCTGAACCCTTAAACCCTTAAACCCTTAAGCCCTAAACCCCTAAACCCTAAATCTAAACCCAGGACCGAGCCCTTCTTCCCGAATGCATCCGGGCAGCCACCCCGAATGCATGAGGTGTGGAGATCAAGCAGCGAGACATAGCTTAGCCCAAACTTTCTGTATCAGGTCTTTGCATTCGCCCCAAAATCCTAAACCCCAAAACTCTAAACCCTTACAGTACCCTTCTCGAGCCCCTGAAGAAAGCCTCATAACACCTCATTAGCATTATTGTAGTACCCTTATAAGGCCCTTTAAAGGAAGCCTCACAACACCTCATTCCTAAACCCTAAAACCCTAAACCCTAAACCCCTAGACCCTAAACCTTAAACCTTAACCCAGGACCGAGCCTACCCTTGTAGAGCCCTTTAAAGAAAGCCTCACAGCACCTCATTAGTATTAATATAGCACCCTCATAGAGCCCCTTAAAGAAAGCCTCACAACGCCTTATTATAGTACCCTTATGGAGCCCTTTTAAAGAAAGCCTCACAGCACCTCATTAGTATTCTTGATTCTCAAGACCCCCCGACCGAGGATCCACCGGAGCTCGCGAGTGGCAAAGAGCCCCTCCTTGGCAGCATGCTTTGGGGTTTCGGGGTTTAGAGTTTAGGGGTTTCGGGCTTACGGGTTTAGGGGTTTCGGGCTTACGGGTTTAGGGGTTTCGGGTTTTTCAGTTTAGGGGTTTCGGGCTTACGGGTTTAGGGGTTTAGGGTTCAGGGTTTTAGGGTTTAGGGTTGTGGGTTCAGGGGTTCTGGGTTCAGAGGTTTCGGGTTTACGGTTTAGGCAAGTGTTTGGGGGGCATAGGGCTCGATTTTTGACGATCTTATACGTTCTGTTTGTAGGGCTTCTCTTTCTTTAATAAGCGTATCTTCGGCAAGTTGGGCTTTGGGCTCGAGGGTTTATTTTGGCTTAACGGGGAGCCGTAAATGGCATCTGGGAGCTTCGGTTTTGCCTGAGCCCGCTACTGGGTTGAGGCTTTTAAGCTGGCAGCTTTCAAGGGAATAGAAGGTCATGCGCAGGCTTCTGAAATCTCAGAATAAGTAGAGCGCGACTTCTGACTTTCCACGATTCATTAATCTTCTGTTTCGCCGGGTCATCCTAAGCCCGAAGCAGCCCTGAGGATTCGGCTGGGCACTTAAGGTGAGCCAGGGACAAATCCTACAGGGTTTAGGGTTTAGGGTTTATGTCATCACAAGCTCGGCCCTGGTGTTGATGATGGCCGACCATACCAAGCTGCAGCACAAGCATTGATTGCGCTGGGCCTGACCTCATGGGCCCGGGCCATGTGCACGTCTCTGGACAGATCATCGACAACCACCACTCTTGCGTCCTTGAGGCACTTGAAGTCCCTGGTCTGACGAGGTTTCCACTCAACCACAGTGGCACGCTGCTTGTCGGCCAGTTTCTGGGTCGTCGTCGTACCATCGATGACCTTGTAGTGGCCTGCTTTCGATGGCACGACATGTTCTGCCCGCCTCGATCTCTGATGGCCTCCGTCCCAAAAACCCTAAAGCTAGACCTAAAGTTAAAGGCGCTAGACTCCGCAAAACCCTAAAGATCACCTAAAGTTACTCCCCAAAGCCCTAATGTTAGACCTTAAGCTAAAGGGGCTAGGCTCCCCAGAACCCTAAAGTTAGACCTTAAGTTAAAGGCGCTCGACTCCTCATCCTTAGTCCGAAATCCGAAAACCTTGCCGCCCCACACTCTGAAATCCGCACACCATAAAGCTCAAAGCCCGAACTCTCAAAATCGAACACCCTAGGCCCCGGACAGTCCCATCTAGATCTTGACCCTGGTCCGTGGGATGGAATTCAGTATAACCCTAGTAGAGTCCCCTTATCTAGTTTTTATAGCGCCCTTTCCAGAAAACACACTCTCCTCGCAAATCACCAGAAAGCATTTTGTCGCCGTAATAGAACACTTATGGAAGTGGTTTAGGGTGTAAGGTTAGTTGCCTACCAGCCCTTAGCCCTAAACCAAACCCTAAACCCCAAAACCCTAAACACTAAACCCATAAACCCTAAACCCTAAACCCTAAACCCTACACCCCTAAACCCCTAAACCCCTAAACCATAAACCCCTATACCCTAAACCCTAAAGCCCTAAACCCCTAAAACCCTAAAGCCTAAACCCCTAAACCCTTAAGCCCTCAACCCTAAACCCCTAAACTCCTAAACCGTACGAGCCAATCGTGAGCAGAGCTTCAAGGAAGGAGCGGAGCCGCTGCTCGTCCACTCCTGGGCAAAAGACGCAGGGTTCAGGGTTCAGGGTTTAGAGGTTTAGGGTTTGGGGGTTTAGGAGTTAGGGTTCAGGGTTCAGGGTTTAGAGGCTTAGGGTTTAGGGGTTTAGGATTTAGGGGTTTAGGGTTTAGAGGTTTAGGCGTTTAAGGGCTTAGGATTTAGGGTTTAGGGTTTAGGGGTGGGATTTAGGGTTTAGGGGTGGGCATAGAACGGGCTTGGAGATTTGAGGGTTTAGGATTTACGGATTTCCAGCCTTTGAGTTTTGGGGGGTTTGGTCTTTTTGCAGCTTGAAAGCCTTTTGGGGCGTTGGCCTTTGCATTGGGGGCTTCTTGGGCTTGATTACTTCCGAGGTTTGTCTTCGGGAGCTATTGCTGTTCATGGCAGGGTTCCTTAAGTACCGACAGCCTTTTGTTCTCTTTCTATGCTGTTGACAGCTAAACCCTAAACCCTAAAACCTTAAAGCCCTGAACCGTAAACTCTACAATCCTACGGACAACCATGACCCGAAATACGGGCAGCAGCAGAGCCCTACTACCACCTAGCCGTAAAGCCCTAAACCCTCGAGCTACGGTTGATGATATAAATCCTGCGTTACCCATAATAAGGAATCTACCATAACTTCCATAGTTTAGGTCCTTAAGGTCATGCAGGATTTATATCATCAACTGTACCAGAACTCGCAAATCCGACATCCGAAACCTTAAACGTCCAAGCCCCCAGAGCCATAAATCAGAACACAACTCTGCCTGTGATGGCTTCTTCCCTCATCTGCAATATGTCATAACTTCCCTCTGCATTGTAATGCAAAGCCCTATAAAGCCTAAGCCCCAAACAACTAGAGCAACGTAGAAGCCTGAAAAACTCCTTAGTATTCTAATATAGGGTTCTTTTGTTCAGAATAGTGTTCTGGGGCCCGTTATACTATAACTATAATTGTAATCGGGAGCCCCAGAATATATAGGGAATTCGGATTTTCTTACGACCGCGCCACCGCCACAATCGGAATTCTTATGGCCCCTCTATTAGACCCTAAACCCCATAATCGCTGTACCCCCTAAACCCTAAACCCCAAACCCTAGACCCTAAACCTTATTAGGGTTAGTATTGTGGTCCCTAAACCCAAAACCCAAACCCTAGACCCTAAACCCTATTAGGGCTAGTATTCTAATCATGGTGCTCTAATGACTAGAGTAGTGTTCTGGGGCCCATGATTAATGCTATAACTATAAAACGGAACCCCCCAGAATAAACCCTAAACCCTAAACCCCCTATTCTAATCATGGTGGCTTCTGGACCTAAACCCTAAACCCCAAACCCTAGACCCGCCTAAACCCTATTAAATAATTAGGGTTAGTATTCAAATCATGGTGGCTTCTGGACTAAAACCCTGAACCCTAAACCCTAAACCCCTAAACCCTAAACCCCTAAACCCCCAGACCCAAAACCGTAAACCCTGAACCCTAAACCCCAAACCCTAAACCCCCATTAGGGTTAGTATTCTAATCATGGTGGCTTCTGGACTAAAACCTAAACCCTAAACCCCTAAACCCCAAACCCCTATCCCCTAAACCCCTAAACCCTAAACCCTAAACCCCAAACCCTAGACCATGGTGGCTTCTGGACTACCGCAAAAGCCAAGGCTCCTTCTCCAAGGGCCTCCAATCTTCCAACGATCGACGCATCATCAGCCTCGCTCTGTTTTAGGGAGTGTTGGGTTTTTGCGGGACGACTAGGGTTTAGGGTTTAGGGTTTTAGGGTTTAGGGTTCAGGGTTTAGGGTTTTAGGGTTTAGGGTTTTAGGGTTTCGGGTTTAGGGTTTTGCAGAAGTGACCACTCATGAGTGTC